TGGTTCCATGTCTAGATGGGCTTAACACAATGTAAACTCTGTGGTGCACACAGAAATTGCAGCCTGACGTGTGAGGGAGCTGAGTGCCCAGCACAGCAGCGTGGGCTGGAGGTTTCCTCACGGTGTTGGTGGAGCTGAAGCTGATGCACAGTGTCCACGTGCCTTGTCCTCTGCACAAAGCATCTGCAGTGACCAGTGACATCCTCAGGGATGCCCTTCCCAAGCCCTTTCTTACACAGGTAGTTTGGCTAGAAAAAAAAAAAAGATTTATTTTGTATTGGGGAAAAATGTGTCCAGATTCTGAGGAAAATTGGTAAAACAGTGTTTTAGTTATAATTCATTGCACTCTGTCTGATTTTGGAATCACATTTTTGGCCAGGGTACATCTGGCCAATGCTGCTGTGATAGTGCCCCAAGCCTTCCTCTTGGTTCTCATTTAGGTTAGAAAGTAATTAAAGAAGGGTAAAAAAAGAAGTGACAGAGCTACTGACTCCCTTTCCAAAAGTGAAGGGTTTAGGCCAAACACTCGCTAAGAAAATAAACAGAATTTCTTTTTTTTTTTTTTTTTGTTGCAAGTTCTTCCCACATATTGAATTTCCATGCTCAGTGACAAGGGGGATGTGCTCGAGTGAGCAGCAATTGGATTCTGATGGCCTTGGATTTGCTTTGGAAAGCTGGGGTTGTCCTGGGAGAGCAGGGTTTGGACCTGAGGTCAAGGCCTTGCTCTCTAAGGAGCACAAACCTTGCAGCCTGAGTTACCAAGCTGTAACTTCTGTGGCTGTGCCTGGAAATTCTTTTCCTGCCCAGTGTCCTGCCTATCTGTGATAGAGCCCTTCCTCCCCATATTAGGCCAACATTTGCTAGTCTGAGCCTAGAAACCATTTTAAATTGAGGCACATTGCAGAGGTTGGCTGTTTTGGCACATGTGGGTGTGGATGTCCTTCCAACCTTCTCTCCTGCAAGAAGAGGAAATCCATGCTGGGATAATTTCTGCAGAAAGCAGTAAATTAGGGGCAGTGGGGAGTGCTTGAGCTTGTCCAACCCTGGGACTCTCTGACGTGGGGCTGTGCTGGGCAGGGGTGAGCCCTGCAGTGGGGTGGGAGCTGGTTTGGTGGTCGCCACGAGCACCAGGGCTCCTCTGGGCAGCTGGGGTGACAGCAGATGGTGCCAGGGGAGGTGCTTAGGGAGCCGGGGGGCTGAAGATGCTCTGTGCTGGGGCGATAAATTGATCACTGTGTCATGGCTCAGCTCCGGAAGCAGGGCAGGGAAGGATGTGAGTGACAGAGGATTCATATCCTGGAAACGCCGCCGTGTCACGGCCAGGAATTCAGCAGGATAAATGCCTTTGCCTGTCCTGCTGCAGGCGATCTGCTTAATGTGGGAAGCAGAGTTTCCTGCAGCAGGAGCCGCTGGGAAGGGAAAACCCTGAGAGGCAGGAAGGGCCAGGGAGAATTAAGCAGGTAAACCCATTAGCAGTGACCACCTCTTTGTGTGGGGATTACACAAAGCTGCTGCTTTTGGATGCTCAGCGTCTGGGGAGGAGCCGGGGCTGGAGTGGGGCCTCTCCCCTCTCCGGAGGGGCTCGACCCCGAGCTGGGATTAGCACTTGCCACAAGCTGCCCTCACTAGCCAGAACAAATTGCTGCTCGTGCTGAGGGGGAGCCCAGCCGGCGAGGACCGTGGTGATGCTGTGAGGCACAGGGTGGGCTTTGCTCAGCAAATCCCTCCATTCTTCCCAACGGGACCTTCCTCGTGGAAATTGCTCCTCTTTAAGGAGCAGATTTACACTGTTTTACTGCTCTGGACAGAGGTTTACCCCAGCTCCCTCCTAAATTCTTCAGATTCTGCCTCTAAAAGCGCAGTCAGGGCACAAAGGGCAATAGATGTGCTGTCCCAAGAGCCTCTCTCAGTCAGGACATCCCAACATGGTTTGGGATAAGCTTGGGCCATGGGGAGGGAGCTCTGGGCTGCAGTGGAGGGTGTGTGGAGAGGGGACACCCCAGTGCCAGGGAGAGCTGCAGGGATGGGCATCACCAGGGCCAGCCTGGGGCTGTGGGGCTCCCCGGGTCCTTGCTGGACCTCCGAGGGAACAGAAAGCACAGAATAATGAGGTTGAAAGGGACGATGCTGCCCGACCTCGTGGTGGCCAGCACTGCATCCCAGAGCTCCCATCCTGTGTGTGTCCTCCGGCAGCCTTCCCAAAATGCCAACCACAGGAAAGCAGCAGAAACCCAAGCTTTCCTTTTGCTTGGATTCCCATCAGTTCCCAGACTTTAATAACAGACCATTGCAGGCTCCCTCCTCGGCTTGGTTTGGCTCTTGGGGCCGGGGCCGAGCTCTGCCTCGTGGGCAAAGCAGGCTGAGAGGAAGAGGAAGGAGAGGGATGAGCGCTTCTGCCGGGAGCGCGACCCCGCTCCCGTCCCCGCGGGGTCCCGCAGCCCCGGGGCTGGGCTCGGGGCCCGGCCCTGCCGCTCCTGGCTCCATTCGTGCTCCAGATGCTGAGCCAGATGTTGGCGCTGCCGCGTCCGCCCGCTGGCGGCGCCGGGGATGCTCGGTGCCCCTGCCCGGGCTGCGGCGCCTCGGCACCGCCACCTCCCGGCACCCGGCGGCTCCGTGCCCGCCTGCGGGCCAGTTTATTCATTTCTTTATTCCTCGGTACCTCCCGGGTAACCCGGAGGGGATGCGCGGTTCCCGTGCCGGCCTGCGGGGCCGCTGAGTTTATTCATTTCCTTTATTCCTCGGTACCTCCCGAGCATCCCGGAGGGGATGCGCGGTTCCCCTGCCGGCCTGCGGGCCCAGTTTATTTATTTCCTTTATTCCTCGGTACCTCCCGAGCATCCCGGAGGGGATGCGCGGTTCCCCTGCCGGCCTGCGGGCCCAGTTTATTTATTTCCTTTATTCCTCGGTACCTCCCGAGCATCCCGGAGGGGATGCGCGGTTCCCCTGCCGGCCTGCGGGCCCCTGAGTTTATTTATTTTCCTCACTGCGCGATGCCTCCTTCCCTGTAGCCCGGCCTTGCCCAGCAACGCTCTCACAGCACACTCGGGAAAAGATATTCACGTGTAACGATTTTATTAAATCTTCTAACTCTCCTTTTCTCCTCTCGCGCTAAGGGCACGCTCCCCGAGGCGAGCGCGGTTTCCCCGGGCCATGCTGGCTCCTCCATCTGTCTGAAGCGATTCCTGCGGCTCTCCCGGGGTTATTTTCAGACCAGGTGTTGACATTTTCCCCAGCTGGGTGTCCAGCCGTACCTGCGGGGCGGTGTGGGAGCAGCAGGAGCCCAACGAGAGGGTGCCCTGGGTTAATGAGGTGCTGCAAGGCAGCACAGCCAAATCCAGCGTTACACGGCCCGGCCTTCCAGTTCAATTAGAAACCTGGACTCCCACTCGTGCATTAATTCGCTTTTTTGACTTGAGCGACAGCTCAGCCTCTCACAGGGAAGTTGTTTCCCTGCTGTGTTTGAGAAGCGTGGGTGTTGCTGGCTGTCCACATGCCCCTGTCTTGCCCAGCCTGGTGCTGGCCATGGAATGCCATGCTGTGCCCAGCAGAGAGCTGAGCCAGGCAGTGCCTGGGTGCCTCTCTGGGCCCAGAGGAGCAGCTGGGACCGGCAGGATTAGCTGAATCCACCTTTCCCCTGTACTTGCCTGCGGATCCCACAGGTGGGGAGCAGCTCTGAAGGACCTGGCACATGCTCCTTGCCAGCTGTGCTGCACCACTCCGTGCCAGCTCCCTGTTTGCCCGGCAGCGCTGGGATTGCAGAGATGCTATCAGTGCTGGGGAGGGCGTTTGTGCACCAAGTGCAGAAGTTCAGGAGAGCAGTAATTAGCAGAGCAATTGTAAAGTACAGCAATTAGTGGCTAATTGCTGCTGCAGAAATATGCAAGGCAGCCTTTTATTCCTTCCTCCATGTGGGATGGCTGATGGAGTTTGCTGGGAGCAGGGAGCACTGGCGTCTTGTCCCTGTCCTTGAAGGCAGGATAGGACAAGGGGGAAATGCTTTAAGATGAAGGATGGTAGATTCAGGTTTGATATTAGAGAGAAATTCTTCCCCGTGAGGGTGGTGAGACCCTGGCTCAGGTTTTCCAGAGGAGCTGGGGATGCTCTGGTGATGTTCTCAGCTGGCAGGAGTGGCTCTCGAGCTGCCCTCGAGCTGCATTGTGCCAGCAGTGGAGAAACTCAGCTTCACAGGGGATTTGGGAGCCACCAAGAGGCCTCAGTGACATTTTTAGGACTGCATTTGGCCAGGCAGTGTGAATTCCCTCTGGGAATGGGTGTGATGCTCTGCCCCCTCGTGCTGTTGTACATCACACCCTCACACCCTCACTGCCACTGCCCCATCCTCACTGGGACAGCCTCCAGGTGCCTGGAAAGACTTATGGACAGCTTGTAAAGAGACATATTTACTTAATAAATAAATACAAATGACATATGGCAGGTACTAGCACGGAACACACACTACTGATGTTGTGAGGAGAGAAGGCCTGAGGCTGGAGCTCTGCCTAGTTCAGCTCAGCACGCCCAGCTGGCACTTAGCAGGCTGGCCCTGGATAACGGGACTGGTGCTGCAGTCTGGCACTGCTCGAGGGCATGTCAGAAGCTACACACCTGCACGGATAAATACCTCAACACACAGTGGCCAGGGAGCTTTGCCTTTGAATGCCTGGGGACACAAAGAGTGCACTTCTCTGGGACCCGGCGCGACCTCGGGCACAGCTCTGGGTGACTGCCCAGGGCAGCTCCTGGGAGCTGCAGTGTGCTCATGGCACACGTGGCACAGGGCTGAGGGTCATGGCACACACAGATGAGGGTCATGGCACACGTGGCACAGGGCTGAGGGTCATGGCAACATGGCTGAGGGACATGGCACACACAGGCACACGGCTGAGGGTCATGGCACACATGGCACACACAGCTGAGGGTTATGGGCACACAGCTGAGGGTCATGGCACACATGGCACGGGGCTGAGGGTCATGGCACGGGGCTGAGGGTCATGGCACACACAGCTGAGGGTCATGGCACACATGGGCACACGGCTGAGGGTCATGGCACACACAGCCAAGGGTCATGGCACACATGGGCACAGGGCTGAGGGTCATGGCACACACAGCTGAGGGTCATGGCAACATGGCTGAGGGACATGGCACACACAGGCACACGGCTGAGGGTCATGGCACACATGGCACACACAGCTGAGGGTCATGGCACACACAGCTGAGGGACATGGCACACACAGGCACACAGCTGAGGGCAGGGGGAGATGGGGCCCCGTGGACCTTGGGAGAGCATCAGGGCTCGTCCCCTCATCTCCGCAAAGCTTCGTGCAGAGCAGAGGGGCTCTGCTGGGCTAGACTGGGCAAAGCCTTGACCTAAAGCTCGGAGCTCTGGAGGGCTCTAAGGGGGCAGCAGCAGCTGGGCCTGGGGCTGTCTCTGAGCCCGGGCCGGGCCTCAGTCGGCCGAGACGGGCAGGGGCAGGAACAGGATCGCCTTCTGGCCGTAGTGAGTCCGCGGGCCCAGCTTGCTGTTCCCGTTCTTCTTCAGCCCCACAAACCAGTTCTTGTCCGCGTGCATTTTGGAGACGTAGGTGTTGTAATGGTTTTCCTCGAGCCTTTCCAGGAACAGGCACTCCTCACCCAGTAACTGCTGAAAGAGAGCCCGGGGAAGGGACAGTGAGCCGGGGGTGTTCCCGATGTGACAATCCCAGCCCAGCTCTGCCCCCTGAGATGCCATCCAGACCCACCTCTGAGACTTCCACGCCCCAGTAAAGCTCTTATTTAAACTGTGGGGTAGGTGTCCTTGATTTACTCCCCTGGGCCACTGCTGTAGCAGTCTGTGACCTGGGAATTTTAATTGCACTGACCAATCAGCCCCGTGCTCCGTTAGCTGCTCCTGGCCCTGGCTCCTGCTCTGGCCCTGAGCTGTGGTGGCAGCTGCAGCCTCAGAGAGCAGAACCACAATGGTTTGGGTTGCAAGGGACCTTAAAGACCATCGAGCTCCAGCCCTTTGCCACGGGCAGGGACACCTGCACTGGGGGCAGCTGCTGAGGGGCTGCAGAGCAGCTGCTGCTCCAGGTATCAAACTCAATATTTACCAAGTGCCAGGTCGGAAATACAGTATTTGTCAGAGGCAGGGCAGCAAACGGCATTATTTGCTAATTTATTTATGTCCCCCCAAAACAAAGCCAGATGCAGAGTGGCCTTGCAGCTGCCAGAACCACAAACAGAGCCTGGTTTGCATTGCCCAGCTGTGAGATGCCTGCAGCCTGCAGCCCTGCTCCTGCCCCATGCCAGGGGGTGCCCGCACCTACCGAGCCGTAGAGCAGCCCGTTGGTGTCCATGGCCAGGTACTGCCCCGACTGGGTGCTCTTGATGTGCACCACCCCCACGCTCTCTGCACTCAGCTGGAGCTGGACTGCAGCGGAAATAAAACAACAGCGCTGAAAGGAAAATAGCAAAAAAGGGGGAAAAAAGAGCTGCCAGGAAGTTTAGGGGGGTATTTTGTTGAAGTCTGGCTTATAAAGAGTTTATAGGAAACAGTACAGTGTGTAATAAAAGTGTCTCCTTGTACCCTCTTCTTCAAAGAAATCCCACAGCCATCCTTTAGGAACCAAAGACCAATTTTTCCCTTATTTTACATCAAAGGAAGGGCAGCCTTTTGGTTACGATGCTGGAATGGGACACAGGAGATTGGGGTTTTAATTCTGGCTCTAATTTACAAATTTCTCATGTGGTTTGACAAGACACTTAAGGAGTGACATATGAAGAAGTATTTTGAGAGCTACGCCAGGGATGGGCAGACTGCAGCCCCCTGATCCAAAGCATCCCACCCAGCTGTCTGCTGCAGCTGGATTTATCCAGAGCGTGGAGAATGGAGAATGGGGAAACAGAAAAGCCTGTGGCTGCAGTCACAGTGACTTGCAAATTCCAGCTCTTCCCAGTGATCGTTCCCATCTCGCAGGCAGCTTCTTTCCCTAAGATTTATAACAGCAATATTGAGGTTGGTTGGAATGAAGTATGAACGGATGTCTCGGCTCCAGCTCCTTCCTTCCTGTTTATATTTAATTTATTTATCCTTATTTAGATGAGGTAAAAGGCAGCGTTACCTCTTGGCCTGGTGGAGCACCCATTGCAGTGAAATCTTTGCTGTAATGGTTCACATTCTTCATTTCTGGCATTTCCTGCTCAGTAAATGATAGCTAATTAGGAAGTAGTGTGGGTGCAGGCTTGCTGGAATACTTGGCCTGGTTTAGGCTGGGAATGTGCACTGGGAAAACCCCAGCCCACCTGCATTCCCTGGGGTGTGCAGAGCTGGGACCCGGCCGAGGAGCAGCCCAGGGAGGAAAGAGGGAAATGGGATGAAAATGAGGATACTGTTCTAAAAACTGCCCCAGAGAGGGGAGGGAGGGACCCTCCTGCTGCCAGTGGGATGCTGAGGTTTTTGACCACAGGAGGAGGGACAACAGTGGGTCCAGAGGAGGGAGCTTGTGCACCAAATTCTTGCAGCTTCTCTTCCAGGTCTGTACAGAGATTTCCTTCCATGAAGTAATGGGATGAAAGCAGGAAAAGGAGACTTTTTGTAGAGATGAGCATGAGCTTCATCCTGAAGAATCTGCAGTGTCCAGGTAAAATTTCCTTCCATTCCTGGGTGCAGACTTGGAATGCCCATTAAGGGATGTAGGAAGTGGATCCTGGTGTGGGGCTGGGCAACAAAGGCTTAGAGAGTGACTCCTTCTGCTCTTCTTAGAGGTCCTCCCTGATGCTGAGGCCATTTAAGAGAAGAATAAGGATTCTTGATATTTGTCTGGAGCACAATGCACGTGAGCACAGGCAGTCTGCAGAGACTGGAAACTGCAGATGCAGCTGGAATGCTGCTGTCCCCACTGGCCTCCAATGAACCCTGGGTGCCCCTGTGCCTTGTCCCTCCCTGGGGCTGGCAGGTGCCTTCCCAGCTGGGTGACAATGTCCCACAGTGCCAGTCACGGCCTGGGCTGCTCCTCTTGCACACCAGGGAATGATCCTGAGTGGCTCCATGCTGTTCCAGGGGCAGCACCGTGGGCAGGCAGGGGTGCTCAGAGCAGGGTACCCCTCACCAAGGCTGCTCTGCTGGCACACAGCCCTTCCAGGAGTTTCCTCTGTAAATATTAGTGTATTCCTGTATCCCAGTTTATGAGCTCATTTACAGGAGGTTCCTTTCTGGCAGAGGTTTGCAAACGTGTGGCCCCGGGCCAGCAGCCAGGGAGGTGTGAGTGTGCTGGGATGCAGGACTGCCTGCCCTGGGGACCACGGCAAGGTGATGGACCTGCTTTTCCAGAGGGAAAGGGGCTGGGCTGGGTGACAGCAGCCACGCTGTGAGACAACAGCCTGGCCAGGGCACAGGAGTGGGCTCACGGCCTTGGTGGCTCCCCATGCCCCAGGAAATGCCAGCTCAACCCTGACCTCTCCTGATTCCAGCAAAACCCCTGGAAAATGCTGCAGAGATGCTGCCTGAGCTCATACCACCTCTCCTGGTGTGTCTGTGAGCCCAGCCCTGTCTCCTGCAGATCTCTGGGTCATCATCCAGCCTTTGCAGGGGTTTGAGGGTTATGTGCTGGGTTTATTCCTGCCTGGAGGCTGGAGCTGCACGCTGTGTTTACCCAGCCTCAGGGGGCTCATCTTCATCCTTTCCCCAGCACTGCCTCGTGCTGGGGAGGCAGTGTTTGTAATTAAAACTCGGCTCTAAACTGCCTGTCAGTAAAACAACAATAGCGAGAGGAAAGGTTAAGTTTGGGGGTGAAGCCACGTGTGTGCTTGTGGTTTAAAGAAAATAAAAGTGCTTTTCTTAGCACTTTGTAAGGCTGGCCTGGCTCCTCCCAGCCCTTCCTCCTAACGAGATAGGAGCCTGGCAGGTCCCAGTCCCCTTCCAGTAAATGTTCAGGATATGAACTGCTGCCAAGAGCCGAGGGAAGAGCCCAGCCCTGCTGCCCAGGGAGCCCTGCAGGAGCTTTGCTGCCTGGCCTGTCCAGCTCTCCTGGGCAGCAGGTTAAAAAATCCTCTGAAGAGCTTTTGGTAATGCAAGAGCACAAAAAGCATTAAATTCCCAATGATTCCTCGGTGGGACCAGTGGTGGGGTCTGCAGGAGCAGCTCCTCCCAGCAGAGGTGCCCGTGTGCCACGGGCTGGAGCCACCAGGGTCACTGACTGCAGGGGTGGGGACAGCTCAGGGGACAGCCTGGCCAGGGTGAGCTGGCCTGCGGCACACGGGTGACACTGCAGGGACAGCACAGAATGCCATGCGATGCTGTGGGGGTGCCAGGCTGCCCTGCCAGGGCCAGCGCCCTGTGTGAGCCAGCCCTGCTGTGCCCCTGTGCCTGCCTGCCGTGAGGTGCAGCAGGTTCAGCTCTGCAGATATCTATTGCTGGGCTCCATATCTACACCTGGACTGCACACCTGTCACACCTCTGGGCCCCCTGAGAGGTGTGCTTGTCCCCTGGAGGTGTGTCTGGGAGGTGTGTTTGGGAGATGTGTTTGCCCCTAGGAAGTGTGTGTGTCCCCTGGAGGTGTGTTTGGCCCTTGCAGGTGTGTTTGGCAGGCGTCTGTGTCCCCTGAAGGGTGTGTTTTTCCCCTGGTAGATGTGTTTACCCTCTGGAAGGTGTGTCTTTTCCCTGGAGGTGTGTTTGGGAGGTGTGTTTGCCCCCTGGTAGGTGTGTTTGTCCCCTAGAGGATGTGTTTATCCCCCGGAGGGTGTGTTTGCCCCCTAGAGGGTGTGTTTGTCCCCTGGCAGATGTGTTTGTCCCCTGGTAGGTGTGATTGTCTCCTGGAAGGTGTGTTTGTCCTCCTAGAGCTGTGTTTGTCCTCTGGAAGGTGTGTGTGTCCCCAGGCAGGTGTATTTGTCCCCTAGAGGATGTGTTTATCCCCCGGAGGGGGTGTTTCACCCCTGGAGGGTGTGTTTATCCCCTGGAGGTGTGTTTATCCCCTGGAGGTGGTTTGGCAGGTGTGTTTATCCCCCGGAGGATGTGTTTATCCCCCGGAGGGTGTGTTTCACCCCTGGAGGGTGTGTTTATCCCCTGGAGGTGTGTTTATCCCCTGGAGGTGGTTTGGCAGGTGTGTTTATCCCCCGGAGGATGTGTTTATCCCCCGGAGGGTGTGTTTACCCCTGGAGGGGTGTTTATCCCCTAGAGGTGTGTTTCACCCCCGGAGGGTGTGTTTATCCCCTGGAGGTGTGTTTGGCAGGTGTGTTTATCCCCCTGGAGGTGTGTTTATCCCCTGGAGGTGGTTTGGCAGGTGTGTTTATCCCCTGGAGGTGTGTTTTCCCCTGTCAAACACCTGCGGGTGCAGCCCCCACCCTCACCCCTCCCGTCCCCTCCCGGTGCTCACTGTGCAGGTCGCTGCGGTCGCGGGTGCCATCCACGGTGCCGTCGGGCAGGATGCGCAGGAAGTGCCCCCCGTTGCTGCAGTACAGCAGCTTCGGCTTCTTGTAGCTGCCCGCGGGCAGGTCGAACCTCTCCGTCAGGGCGCTGAAGGTGCTGATCTCCCCCTCGGCCATCCCGCAGCCGCTCCGGGGCCGGGCTGCAAGGGAGGCGACAGCAGGGTGACACCGAGGGCTGGCACACGCCGGCCTTTAAAGGCAGGCAGGCAGGCAGGGAGGAGGGGGAGCCGGGGGTCCCGCTGTGATTCACAGCCAAGGGATGCTCCCCCAGCCGGGTGGGGCTGGCCGGGAGGCACTCTGTCCTTTTTAATTTTATCGCAGTCAATTCTGTTTTTGTTCTCCTTTCTATTGACGTGCGTGCTAAAATTACACACCGGGAAAGGCAGTTTGAAAAAACAGCCCGTGTCTGATTGGAACCCACAGGAGGCGGGAAGGGAGCCCAGGTAAAACTCTCTCTCCACTATTATAACTCTCAAACACAATTAGGAGCAGGAATTGCAACACCCACTGCGTGTCAGGTAGTAAATATTGCTCATCCCTTGGCACTCTGCAGCTCACCTGCCCAGGACACGCTTGGAAAAGGTCAGGACACATGTTGGATGTGGTGGGAGATGGGCAGGGCAGGAGCCTTCACTGCCTGGGCTCAGCTGATTTACCCAGACACTGATCAACAGCCTTTGGAAATGGGAATTTTGAGTCCAGGATATGCCATGAGTCAGGCAGCAGCATCCCAGTGCCTAAAGAGGCTCCAGGAGAGCTGGAGAGGGGCTTTGGTCAAGGGTCTGGAGGGACAGGATAAGGGGAATTCCATTGCCAGAGGGCAGGGTTAGATGGGATTTTGGGAAGGAATCCTTCCCTGTGAGGGTGGGCAGGCCTGGCACAGGTGCCCAGAGCAGCTGGGGCTGCCCCTGCATCCCTGGCAGTGCCCAAGGCCAGGCTGGATGGGGCTGGAAGCAAGCTGGTCTGATGAAAGATCACATTGAAACCTCATTTGGCTGGAGTCTGTGGTACAGTCTGTGTTTAAGCAGATTCTGTGCCAAAGCCTGAAGGCATCACCAGACCAACCAAAGAAAGATGCTGTGGATGTTGGAGGCTGGGAAGTGAGAAGTGCTGTCACAGAAGTGCCATCACAGGTGGGGGCCAGAGTCCCAAGGACATTCCAGGTACGGTCATGTTTTCAGCCTTGACACTACATTTAAAATCCCCACAGATTCATCCTGCCTTTCATACACAGAGTTCTGTAGTGCTTGGGGAGAAGTGGATTTATGAACAGAAAAAGACATGGCACAGAACAACTCTAGATACAGGAACTTGCTTTAAATGTCATGTATTCCCACAGCTATACTATGGAAAATATTTTATAGTCACTGTTTATATGTGTTTATAGATTGTAAAAATGTCTCTCTAGGACTGAGCTGTGCTACTGGTGCGTTGGGATGGAGCCAGCACCTCACTGTGTGGGTTTGCTGTGGTGCTTGGGGTGCCCTGGCAGACACTGAGCACACACACTCACACACGTGTGCATACACACAGAATCTCCAAACACTCGGCTCTCAACTCTTTCGTATTAAAAAAAAATCTGCAAAAGCAGCTGCAAGAAGGGGAAACTACTCCTGGAAATTTCAACTCTTTAGTATTAAAAATAATCTGCAAAAGCAGCTGCAAGAAGGGGAAACTACTCCTGGAAATGGATCCCAGACTCCTGCAGAGAGTAAAAACCTCTGGAAGTTTTTAGCAAACCTCTGGATTGCTAAAAGGTGGATCCCTGGAGATAAAGAGCGTGGCTGCTGGTGAGAGCACCCCAGCCATGCACCAGCTCTGCCTCGAGCACAGACTCCAGCCCAGGCCCTCAGGTGCCCCATTTGACCCAGACTGGGATTTTGGGAGGTGCTTTCTGCAGTGACAGCCCCCAGCCCCCCTATTGCCACGAGGCTGGAGATGCAGCCTCAGGAGCTCTGTGCTCCTGGTGGTTTCCAGAGCAGGTGCTGCCAAACACACACTCAAAATCTTTGTTTAACACCATTGGAAGGTGAAATTATTTCCTAGAGTGTCTGGTCCCTACGTTTCTTTTTCTGTCAAGACAGCATACCTCTCATGTAGTTGAGTTTCCTTGCCAAGTGCCAGGCTGTCCCAGAAGGAAAGCCCCAGGTCACCCAGAATCTAGAACCAAAGCTTTTCGTCAAATTTCATCTGAGGGTAAAAGGCACCCAGAAGTCTCCTGGGTTGGTGATGGGTGCTACTGAGAAGCAAACATCCGGCTCCAAGGGCTCTGAGCAGGATCTGCAGCCAGGAGTGAGGAGCAGGCTGGATTCTACCACAGTCACCTCAGGGGCTGAGGGCATCTCCAGACAGCTTGAGCAGAGCAGCTCAACTGGAAACAGCTTCTTCGTCATCCCTGATTTCCTCTAAGGTTATTTGTGCTGGTTTTAGTGCTTGCCAGCTGCCCTGGGTGCCCCAGCAAAGCTCAATGAACACTTTTCCACTCCCCTTGTCGCCCCGTGCTAAAAACTATCGCTGTTCTCAGACTTTATGGCCATGGAGTTGTTCCTCTACAAACACCACCACTCATGGCCCTAGCATTATACTTTTGGCAGGAACACGTTAGGTTTTTATGGGAATTGAAAAGCTCGAGTGAGAGAGAGAACCTGAACCAAAGACAACATAAAGGGCCTTATTTCTTTGGGTAGGAGCCCAACAATGCTATTAAATAGCTCAAAGCAGAACAGAAAGCTCTCAAATATGCAAAGCAGAGACACCACACTCCAGTGGTTAGCTGGAAGAGAAAGGAAATGGAGAAAGGGAAATATTCCAAGAGGAGATGGCTGTAGGGGGCATGGCTGCTGCTGAGCTCTGACCCTGCAGGTCACACAGGACTGGATTTGGAGCTGGGCTGGAGCCTGTTTGTCCACGAGCAGCTGTGCTTGTGGCTCCCCTCTCCTCCAGCTCTGTGCTCAGCCTTGCTGTGCTGCCTGGGAGAAACCCCCAGCGAGGAGGAGTCCCTGGGAGCTGCAGCCAGGCACCTGCTCCAGGACAGCCCCAGCTCCACCCATGGCACAGGCAGCTCAGGGCACCCAGCTCTTCCTGCTGGATGGAGATGTCAGCACCCCAAAGGACCAGAAATCACTTCTGAAGGTAAAACAAGCCTTAAGAAGCGAGTTAAACGCGAATGTTCATTTTACCCAGGTCCTGCTGGGCCGTGGTGGCTGCGCTGTGCTGCTCCCTGCAGCTCTGAGGGCTGCAAGAGCTGCGAAATTCTGAGAAGTTTGGGGTCGGTTCCAAGCTTTATCACTGGCCAAACCAGTGGCTTTGATGTGAAATCCCAAACTCTGCGAGCATCTGACTGTGAGCACCGAGGGCTGGTTGTGCTGCCAAGATCAGGCGTGTGAGCCCTGGAATAACAGCACAGCTGGGAGCCAGGGGAGGAGGGGGACCTGTGCTCTCTGCTGTAAAACCGTGCAGGCTTCACCACACAGCACCTGTCTGCATGACAGAGGTGGTGTTGCTGCAGTGAGGGGGATTCCTAATGGTCCAAAAGTTTTTTGTATGTCAGAATTGCCAGGAATTTTTGTGGCTTGTTTTTTAAATGGCTCCTGTGGCATGGATTTAGTGGCCAGCCAAGACTCAACCCAGAGGTGGCCAGCTGAGGTGAGCCTTCTTTCCCTGGGTATGAAATACCTGGCTACTCATGGAGGAAAGCACAAGTATCTCACCCTCTGGGTTCAAACCAGATTGGATTGATTCAAATGCACCAAAATTGTCCTTGGCTTTGGACACAGTCTGTTTTGTAGGGTTGGAAAGGAATGTTCTGCATGGCCTCTGAGTGGCCACGGTGATGAAAAGTGCAGCTAATCACAGCTGTCATTTAGGTGATCAGCTAGAGATCACCCAGAGAGCTCCAGAGAGATGAGAAGCTGCTAAACCCAGGAGCCTCCTGAGGTTTTGTCCAGCTCTGGGTAATGAGATCAGTGTCTTGTGAACCTGGCTCTGGTGAGTTCAGTGGAAAGATTCCAGTTGGTTTCACTTTGGAAAGTGTTATTTTCTCCATTAAAGCAGAAATCCTGTTTGTTCCAGTGACTCAGCTGGGATCAGACACATCACCTCTGATGGGCTCCCTTCCCATTGCCACTGCAGCCACCTGAGCAGAACAGTCACTTCCCAGGCAGTTCAGACCCTCCATGTGGGAATGGAAGGCTCTTAGAACAGGTAGAATATTTTTAAGGAATTCAGGCTCTGAATTGTCTTTCCCAGGGGTTCCTGTGGGCTTTGGGGCAATCTGAGATCTACCTGGGCATGTGGAACAAACACCTCTCAGGGATTTTATTCATTGTACCTTTTAGAGAACCATTTAATGGGAAGGATTTCCTCATCCAGGAGAGGATAAGAGACCAGGCAGAGGTTTCCTCATGCTCTGGCTGCTGCAGGAGCAGCTCAGTGGGCCTGGGGTTATCACCAGGCTGCCTCCCCTCCCGAGGGCTGGCAGTGCAAGGCACAGCTCGAATTCCTTGGACTGTGCCTCCTCTCAGAAGGATTTAATAAATGATTAGGCAAAGCACATGATAAATATGTAATAGATCACTCTGAGTATCAGTGGAATGCTCTGGCTCGTTTCTAGGCTTGTTTATGGCCAGGTGATTTTATCTCTAGTGATGTGATTAACTGCTTAATGAAGTATTTATCAGCCAGGTTTTACCCTTTGCAAGTGGAATATGTTGTGTGAAGTGCAACCAAAAGCATAAAAATCAATTTAACTAATGCCTGCTGTCATCATCTGCTGCTCCCCAGCAGAAAACAGCCATTCCACTCAGTCCCCTGGATTTGTGGCAGGTAAAACAGGGGGGCTGCAGAGCTGAAACTCTGGCAGTTTCCTCAGTGTGTGTCACCAATGGCTGATCACACAGCAGCATCACGGGGGGACAGGGTTATCCCAGCCCTGTGCCCTCAGGGATGCCCAGGGGAAGGGATGCTCAGGGATTCCCATCCCTGCCTGAGCCAGGTGTGGCTTTTCCAGAGCTCTGGAACACCCCAGCTGCTGGGACAGCCAGTGCAACCTCTCACCAAGCTGGTGCTGTCTGTGGGGAGCAGGAAAACCAAAGGATCCTGACTTTCTAATTACCTCCCACCCACGGCCCCTCGCCATCCG